TTCCCAAATCGGACATTATTTGGCCGAGATATTTCAAAAAATCTTCAAAACAGGTTGACTTTACAAACGATTCGGTTTTTGGTCAACCACTTTTTTTAACCCAACGATTTTTAAAATGTTCGAATGCCAATTTATAGTAGGGATCCCTACGAATTCATAAAGGTATAACATTTTAAAATCTGACAGTATTTACCAGAGATATTCAATCAAAATCATCAACGAATGGTTGATTTTCGAACCGACTCCGTTTTTGGGAAAAAAAATTCCCAAATCGGACATTATTTGGCCGAGATATTTAAAAAAATCATCAAAACAGGTTGACTTTACAAACGAATCGGTTTTTGGTCAACCACTTTTTTTAACCCAACGATTTTTAAAATGTTTGAATGCCAATTGATAGTAGGGATCCCTAAGAATTCAAAAAGGTATAACATTTCAAAATCTGACAGTATTTACCCGAGATATTCAATAAAAATCATCAACAAATGGTTGATTTTCGAACCGACCCCGTTTTTGGGAAAAATCGTGATGTATCCCCTTGCATTTTTTTCAATTTTGATCAAAATTTTGATTTTTGTTTTTTTAATGCCAATCGATAGTGCTGATCCTTTCGAGTCCAAAATGGTATATCACTACATAATCGTGCAATATTTGACTGAGATATTCCAAAAAATTATCAACTAAGGTTAGCCTCGTTACCGAATCGTATAATTAATATTATATAATTTAATAAATATAAATATATTGATCTATTTTATCTTTTTATCCGTCATATCTGTTACAGACTGGTGCTGGCGTCGCCCAGAAATATCCGGTTATGGTTTATATACACGGCGGCGAGTTCGTGCGCGGCGCTTCAAACTTGTTCCAGGGCCATGTGTTGGCTTCATTTTATGATGTGGTCGTGGTGACCCTGAACTACCGGCTGGGCGCTTTGGGTTTCCTTTCCACGGGCGATGAGAATTCGCCAGGCAACTATGGCATCCTGGATCAGTCAATGGCACTTAAATGGGTGCACGACAATATTGAGTTCTTTAATGGGGACCGCGACTCGATTACATTGTTTGGACCGGGAGCTGGTGGCGCCTCCGCCGGCCTTTTGATGGTGGCACCACAAACACGCAACATTGTGAAGCGCGTTATTGCACAGTCGGGCTCGGCGCTGGCTGATTGGGCACTCATCCAGGACAAGTACCGGGCGCAGAATACGAGCCGTGTGCTGGGACAAGTGCTGGGCTGTTCAATAGATTCGTCCTGGAAGCTAGTCAACTGTCTGCGCACCGGACGCAGCTTCTACGAGCTGGGCAATGCGGAGTTCCCACCCCAGGTCGGCAGTTTCCCCTGGGGTCCGGTCCTGGATCACAATTTCACGCTGCCCGGCGATGACTGGTACGAGGGCTGGCGGGAGAAGGACTGGCGCTTTCTCACCCAAACACCCGAAACCTTGATACGCAGTGGCCGATTCAATCGCAACATACAGTACATGACGGGCGTAACCACTCAGGAAGCGGCCTTCTTTGTGGCACAGAACGAATCTCTGGCGCCATATTATGAGCTGGACAATCGCTTCTTTGAGCAGAAGGTGAGGGAGCATGTCTTCCGCTATAACTACACCCTGAATCCGAATGGTGTCTACGAGGCCATCAAGTACATGTACACCTACTGGCCGGATCCGAACAACAACACCATCATACGCGATCAGTACATCAACATGCTGAGCGATCTCTACTATCGTGCGCCAGTTGATCAAATGGTCAAGTTGCTGCTCGAGCAGAAGATTCCCGTCTTTATGTACGTGCTAAACACCACTGTCGAGGCCCTGAATCTGCCCCAATGGCGCAAGTACCCACACGACACGGAGCACTACTTCCTGACTGGTGCCCCCTTCATGGACACAGAGTTCTTTCCCAAGAAGGAACACCTGCAGCGCAACATGTGGACGGACAACGATCGCAATATGAGTCACTTTTTCATGCAGACTTATTCTAACTTTGCGAGATACGGGTAAGTGTAGAGAATAAGCCAAACTGACTGACTGACTGACTGACAGACTGACTGACTGATTGACTGACTTACTGATTGACTGACTGACTGACTGATTAACTGACTGATTAACTGACTGAATAACTGACTGACGACTGATTGACTAACGACTGATTGACTGACTGACTTACCGACTGACTGAGTGACTATCTGATTGACTGACTGATTGATTGATTAATTTATTGATTGATTGATTGACTGACTGACTGACTGATTAACTGACTGACGACTGATTGACTGACTGACTGACTGACTGACTTACTGACTGACTGACTTACTGATTGACTAACTGACTGATTGATTGATTGATTGTCTGACTGATTGACTGACTGAATAACTAACTGACGACTGATTGACTGACGACTGATTGACTGATTGACTGACGACTGATTGACTGACTGACTTACCGACTGACTGACTGACTGACTGACTGACTGACTGACTGACTGACTTACTGATTGACTGACTGACTGACTGAGTGACTATCTGATTGACTGACTTAGTGACTGACTGACTGACTGACTTACTGACTGACTGACTGACTGACTTACTGATTGACTGACTGACTGATTGATTGATTGATTGTCTGACTGATTGACTGACTGAATAACTAACTGATGACTGATTGACTGACTGACTTACCAAATGACTGAGTGACTATCTGATTGACTGACTGATCAATGCACGTGCAAACCAAAGCTTATATTTTTAACCTTTATGATGTGAGAGCAAGACTAAGACGGGGCTCTATAAAATTCCAACTATCTATCAATATCAATTCTAAATTAAATATTTTACTAATCCTTCTAAAACTTGCCGTGTAGCAACCCAACGCCACAACAGGTGCTGGGGATGCACTTTCAGCGCGCATATCAAGGGGAGATTCGTTACCTGAACATTAACACCACCTACAACTCCTCGATCCTGCTCAATTATCGGCAAACGGAGTGCGCATTCTGGACACAGTATTTGCCGACGGTAATTGGAGTCTTGGTGCCGACATATCCGCCAACCACGGAGTATTGGTGGGAGCCGAAGGAGCCATTGCAGATTGCCTTCTGGAGCATGTCGGTTGCCTGTTTCTTCCTGATCGTACTGGTCGTCATCTGCTGCATTATGTGGCGCAATGCCAAGCGGTAAGTTGAGTAGTTTTTTGTTTAAGGAAAAATCTGACACATCCAATCCGCAGACAATCCGATCGCTTCTATGACGAAGACGTCTTCATTAATGGCGAGGGCATGGAGCCAGAGCCGGATGCACGTGGCGTGGACAATGCCCACATGGTAACCAATCATCATGCGCTGCGCTCACGGGACAACATATACGAGTACAGAGATTCGCCATCGACCAAAACGCTGGCCAGCAAGGCCCAGACGGATACCACCTCGCTGCGGTCGCCAAGCTCCTTGGCCATGACCCAAAAGTCCGGCAGCCAGGCTTCACTCAAGTCGGGCATTTCGCTAAAGGAGACGAATGGCAGTCTGGTCAAGTCGGAGCGCGCAGCCACTCCCCGCTCGCACACAAATGGAACATCGGCAAAAGCGGCCCCCATCGAGGAAAAGCGCCTGCTGCAGCCCCTCTCAAGCACGCCTGTGACGCAGCTTCAGGCGGAGCCAACGAAGCGAGTGCCAGCCGCATCCACAGCAGCCAGCGTTGCCAGCAGCAGTCGGAGCACCACGCCCGTGCCCTCGGCGCGCACCACGACGACAACAGCAACGTTGACAGCGCAGCAGCCAGCGGTGCAGCAGCGTCGAACGCAGCTGGTGGAGGGCGTGCCCCAGACATCTGTCTAAGTAACCGCTCTCTAAGCGCGGGATGCGCTTAGAGAGAATCCACATAGCCCTTTCAATGAACAATCAACCAAATCTGACAAATTTGACATTAGGGTAAGTTCTGAAGCAGCATTTCGATCGAATGCATTTTAATGGATTCCCGTCAACAGCTTTCTTTTAGTGGAGGAACCCTGGATTAAGAGTAGCTTAGATTGTAGCTTTTGTTTTATTCCATAGTTTTATGTTATTTATACTTTATCGACTACACAGATCTAAAAGATCTCTTGAGCCCATAAGTGCAGCTATAATAATTTGTATTTGTAATTTAATATTTGACAATTGTTTTTCTTTTATTTCCCTATATTTTGTAAGTTCGATAACCCAACGAATACGAATCCATATCAATGACATTCCGTAGAATAGTTTTGGCCCTTTTGCCAGCGACCTCCTGTGAGGCGGGGCCTTGAAATGTACATACATATATATACGACAACATCTAGACTAAGTTCATTATGTTAAGCTCTAATGCTGTCACCTTAAAATCCGAGAGGTCTGTAAAAAGTATTTGTGAGAAATTTGAAATTTATTAATAAGCATTAGTCTAGGGGCAGCTTTAGTAGACGCCATCAAAATACAATTATCTAATACAAATTGTACAATACTTACGCATAATAAAACTGAACCGCCCAATCGAAGTTTCTTCAAATTGTTGGATAATAATTTACATGTTACTGTGTTGTCCATATACCCATAAATGTCCATATTATCATACCGTATAACAAAATTGCAAAGAACAAGTGCCTTGCTCTAAATGGATCTAGCTTAGTGTTAAGTATGTGTACTCATATTTCGTATTAGTGCTATAAGTATAAACTGGCAGTTATATATTTTATATGTATGTTTTATGTGTCACATATATAGAAATCAACGACCATACAAATCAGTGTGAACCGTCCAATATATTTTATGTTTTCATGTTAAGCATGTTTTAATAAGTATGTATGTAGTATAATTAGTGAGCTATTGATTACATGTGCGAAAACATAAGAAATACATTTACTTTTATAATCATTGTAGTACATAATATTTGTGTGTATTTTTCCCATATCATCCATCAAATAAAATGATAATTTATCTTTTGTAAAATGTCCTGTATGTGTCCTACATTTTGCGTTTCATGAAAAATACATTTTAAAAAGAAAAACCATGTATTTTGCTTAATACTAATAAGCTTTTCAAATTTGGGAAAACTAATCTATAGATACAGCGAAGCGGCAAACACAATGTCTCGCTTGAGCAGACGAATGCCTTCGGAGAATTTGTTCTCCAGATCCGTGTTGCCAATAGTTTTGGATGCCTGGCACAGCTGACGCAGCAGCTCCTCCAAACGTCTCATACAGCGAATGATGGAGCCTTCGAAAATATCGGTCATTTTGCAGACGCTTAGAAAACTGGAGCCCTTGCACCAGGCCAGCACGACGTCCATCAGGAAGGGCTTGAACTTTTCCACGTAGTTCTCCTCATCCATACTTAGTTTGCATTCTGTGGATACCTTGGCAATGCGCCGCGCCAGGCTTTGCAAAGCGCGCAACGGCCCGGACAGCTCTGTGGCGCTCTTGGGCGCCTCACTGGACTTCTCGTCGCAGACGAAACAGGAGAGCAATGCGACCGCCTGCGGGGCTGAGAGCTCGTTGAACACGCCGTTGAATATCATTTCGGTTATGAGCAACTCATCCGCAGAGCTTAGCTCGCAGGCAACGCGACCCTTAAACTCGATGACATCGCCCGGCTTGCAGTAGCCCATGCGCCGGAGTACACGCTTGCGATACTTAAGCTCGTCCATCTGCAGCAGGCTGCGGGCAGCCTTCAGCTCCGCCTTCAGGCCGTTGAGCTCGGATTGTAACTTTAGCTTTTCGATATAGCGCTTGTGAACACGCTCCAGCTCTGGCGATTTGTGCAGCGGATGCTCCTCCAGTAACGCCTCAAACTGTGCAATGGTATCGACAATCTGGCGAAATTCGGGATCCTTGATATTCATGTCGTCTATGGGATGAAGTACCGGTGGACCAAGTGGAAATCGTTTCTTAGCCTCCTGAATAGTCTTCAGCACGGCACGGCGATTGTCCGCAGTGCGCAGATCGTTGGGAAAGTAGACGCGTATAGAACTGATTTGGGTGATAAGTGTATTGGCAACTGGAACGACCTCCATGCAGCCACGTTCATTGGGCTTACAGGGCTCGGTGTCGCCAGTTTTCGCTGCCTCCTCGCTCACATGCAGTAGCATATCAATAACAACTCCCGCTTCACTTTTCAATGGGTTCTTGCGATTCTGGTCCTGCTTCTTGAAGTTCAATACAAGACCCCAGTCATACTCCTGCTTTCCAGCTGACACCTTTACCAGCCGGCCTGGCTGTAAAAAGGGCACCAGATATTGCGGCTTGGTCAGCCACTCGCGGAACCTATTCCCATTTAACTCTAGCTGTTCGCGGATGTGATGATAGGACGCAATGTTATGCTCATCCTTAACGGTTAGCTTTTCGAGCTGTTGTGTCTTCTGCTGCACTTGATCATGTAGACCGGGAAGTGCGGCCTGATTTTGAAACTGATAGAAACTCCGCTCCAGCATGTACTCCGGGTTTATTTCCTCTACGCGCAGTAGATTCAGTACCATGTTGTAGGTCAAATGGAAGGCCGAGTTTAGTGTATCTGCCTTGCCCTGCACTATTTCACGGCCCACCACAGGTGACACCTTCTCATCAATCATCAGTATAACAATGCCCTTGTCGTCCAAGCCGCGACGGCCAGCACGCCCAGCCATTTGTATGTACTCGCCCGAGCTGATCCACCGAAAGTCCTTGCCATCAAATTTGCGCGGCGCTGTAAACAATACTGTGCGCGCAGGCATGTTCAGGCCCATGGCAAAGGTCTCCGTGGCGAAGAGAGCCTTGATCAGTCCCTCTCCAAATAGAATCTCAATGGTTTCCTTTAGTATGGGCAGCAGTCCACCGTGATGTATGCCAATGCCACGTCGCAGCAATGGCAGCACATTTTCCACCTGTGGCAGTCTGCGATCCTCCTCTGAAAGAACGTCCATGGCGTTGTTAAAAACCTCATCGACCAGCTTTTTCTCATCGATTGTGTTAAAGTCCAGCTTGGCCATTTGCATGGCATAGACCTCACAGTCCTTTTTACTGAACGAAAAAATGATGACGGGTGCAAAGTGTCGCTCCATAATCATCTTGACAATCTTAAAGATGTTCGTCTGACCCGAATTGTGACCCTTAACGCCTCCCTTGCGGCCTTTCTGGTCGCCCTTGGCCGCTTCGCCTACAATGAAAGGGCTTGTTAATTAAACAAATATAGTTATTTGCATATGCCGTATAATACCTGCATTAGCCAGCACCGCCATGGCCGTCGTAAAGTTGTCCTCCTTGAACTGACCCTTCTCGTCGACAATCAAATGAATGCCATCGCCGCCGGCCGGAAAGATGTAATGCTGCAGCGGCGTTGGCCGGTAATCCGTGTAAACAACATGACAGGGCTGCTTGTGCAGATGGCATACCCACTCGGCAAACTGGCGGGCATTGGGTATGGTGGCCGAGAGAAAGACATAGCGCACATTGTCCGGCAACAGGATGAGTGTCTCTTCCCATACCACGCCGCGCTCCTTGTCACGCATGTAGTGAATCTCATCGAATACTACCCAGCCCACCTCGCGCATAATCTCGCTGCCGCGGTACAGCATGTTACGCAGAATTTCCGTTGTCATAATCAGGCAGGAGGCCGATGGATTAATGGTTACATCGCCAGTAACCAGGCCAACGTCCTGGAATTCATCTGTGAATTCGCGAAACTTTTGATTGGACAGCGCTTTAATAGGCGTCGTATAAATAACGCGTTGCTTGGCCGCCAGAGACTTGGCTATCGCGTATTCCGCCACCACAGTCTTTCCGGCGGAGGTGTGCGCCGATACTAGCACGCTCTGTGAGTTGTCTATGCACAAAATGGCCTGTTTCTGGAAAGGATCCAGCACGAATGGATATTCCTTGGCGGGAACGCCGGCAAATGGCTGCAGAGGAATGTATTCCTGGTCGGGATGGGCGGCCACCTCGTGTGTGCAGGACTCCGGCGATACTAGCTGGTGTGTGACGATGCGCACCCGCAGCGCCTCCAAATCACAATCGTCCAGTTCCTTAACTCCGTCATCTTTTTCATCTTTAACTTCTTCTGTTTCATCGTCAGTAATCTTTGATGTCTCCTGGTTTATGTCCGTGCTGCCGTCGACCTTTGCCTTATCAACACGTTGTCGCTTTGTATGCTCTTCCTCCCGTCCATCCTCTGCGGGCTCCTCGGTGCTGAGATCTACAGTATTTGCATCACGTTTGTTGGCCTTCCTAGCGCTTTTATTGGCGCTATCCGGGTTTTTTGTTTCAGACTCGATTAGTTTTGCTTTCCTTGTGGGATAGGGTACCGGCACTTGCAGACTTTCGGGCGGCACCTCGTTGAAGCAATCGAATAGCTCGTCTATGTCCATTACGTTTTTTAAGGAGCTATGGCTTGTTTGTTTCTGCGTTTTATTCAGACCGCGTTGAAAAAAACATGTGTTTTGACGAATTCCACATTTGTCTGTTAACGTAACATAACGCTAAACTGTTATTAACAGCAGGCAGTCCCTGGAAAAATATTTTACGTTTTGTTTAATTCAGTGTAGTATACTGTAATTAACAGCTTAAGAAATCGAATATGGCGAAATTTGCGAATATGTATTCATCAACATATTAATTTAAACAATGCTCCACATAAGTTGACGAATGATTCATTTACATAGCCTTAACGGTTAGCAGAAATATTCCAGAGCATGATTCGTTAAGTGAACAAGCTTACTGAACCACAAGTTAACAGAGTTCTTAAATGCATGTTAATTTATAACGGATAGATGTTTTGTTGTCGATATATAAATACAGCCCTACAACGGCTATTGCATTTTTATCGAAAATACACAAAGAAAAATAATCGGCTAATCGTTCAAAGACCAGCAACAGCGGCAGCAGCAGCAGCACAGAAAAGAAAAAACGAAAATATTTTAATATTTGTTTAAGTATAAAATGGACACTGATGAAGTAAAACGCGGTCGGGGCCGTGGTCGTGGTTCACGTGCACGTGGCCGAGGACGTGGTCGTGGGCGAGGCCGCGGTAAGAAAGTTGATGAGAGTGGCAGTGCGCTGGAGATATATGAAAGTGGAGTTGGCGTTGTTGCTCTTGCGTCAAGCAACGGGGCAGTGGAGGACAGTCCAACCAGTATGGACCATGTAGAAGATGCTGTAATGCAAGATTTAGACAAAGAAATCGAAATAGAGGTAGCAACAGTACCCGAGGAGCAAGCAACTCCCATTGAGGACAGGACGCCGCCACAATCACTGCCGCCGCCTCAGCAGCAACAGCAGGTGGCGCCACAGGTGTTGCCACAAACAAGTAAGCTTTTATATTTTTTGATTAACTGGAAATGCACTTAGTTTACGGTTTTTTAGTTGATATGGAAGCAGATATATCACAGCTGGAGGCGCCCACGTTTACGACATTGTCGCGGGGTCCCCCAGAGCCAATGCTGCGCCTTAAGTGGAACCACAAAGTAAGCCTCATTGGCGAGAAGGTGCTTAACCCGATGATACACTGCTGCGACCAGTGCGACAAGCCAATACTCGTCTATGGCCGCATGATACCCTGCAAGCATGTGTTCTGCCTAAAATGCGCCCGGGCCGAGCCCATCAAGAGCTGTCCACGCTGCAATGATAAGGTACTGCGCGTGGAGCAATCTGGCTTGGGTACTGTGTTTATGTGCACGCACGGTGGCAGTCGGTACGGCAGCACCGGGTGTCGTCGCACGTATTTATCACAGCGCGATCTGCAGGCACACATCAATCACAGGCACGTGGCACAGCTGCCGCTGACTACATCCTCGGGCGTTGAGCCAAAGCTGACGGAAATGAGCGGCCTGGAGTTGCATAAGCAGCGCAAGGCGAGTAGTTGCTATGGCTCCTAACTATGCTCTCTGTCTAATGCTTGCCCTTGCAGCTATCCGAACCCTCTGCCGCCGCCTCCTCCGCTGCTGGTGCCCACATGCAGCAACGCTCAACGGCGCGCGGTTCGGTCGGCAGCATTGGCTCAATACCTCCACCGGGATCGTCTGACCGAACCGCCGTCCACACGCACTCGACCCTTACGCAGGCTAATTTAGCGCGCATCAACAATGCGAACGCCCAGGACTGTCATCAGGGCAAAGCCTCACTGCATCAGACCCTTAAGAAGGGCACACATCAGTCCGAGTCCGTGGCAGATGCTTCCTACTACAGCAGCGTGTTAGCCACATTCGGTAGTGCTGGTGGTACACCGGGCGCTACTGCAGGCAGCACGGTAGTTGGCTCAAATTGTGCAGCGGGCGGTGGTAGTGCATCTGGTGTCGGAACAGCTGCAGGAACAGGCAGCAACATGAATATAGGCAATCCCACCCAGTTGTCAAGCGGCTACGAGATCGGCAATACGGCGAGCAGCACAAGCAGCAACTGGCAGCAAGCGCAATACTATAGATAAAAATAAAATGGACCGAATCTACACTTTTGCATGAAATTAATATTTAATTATTGTACAAATAAACAGTTGTATATGGAACCCAAATTGTAGTTTTTTTAAATTTTGGTTTTTTATCTGCCTGCTTATGGATTTTTAACAGCGTACTTGGCTTGGGCCCCTAACTATACAATATATTTTGTATGTATTTTTGTTGTATGGTTAGTGCTTGGGCGCGGCTTTTAAACTGGTCCTGGCTGACAATTATAGTTATCGAAATGGATTCGGTTTCTGCTTGACTTTTAGCAGCGTACCTGACTTGGGCGCAGATTTCAAACTGGTCCGCAGCCAACTATCGTTATCGACAGATTGTGGCGTAACGATAAGTTTCGTCGTCAGCTGCAGCAGCCAAAAATCAATTGTAAACAATTTAAATTTAATCAGGCCGAGTTCAAAATTAACATAAGTACAATGGAATAATCAACTAATAATGACTTTGGCCCTACGTCACACGTAAATAAGCAGCCAGCTCTGTTGGGCACCAAGTGATTTGTCAGCGCAGCGGAAAGAGAAAGTTGTTAATTGAGATTATGCAAAAAATATTACTTATTAGTGGAAAACGCAAATGCGGCAAGGATTTCATTTCAGAGAGGTTACAAAAACGGTGAGTATTTGAGAAGAAAGCGGAAAATTATAGGATTTATAACGCTTCAAACAGGTTAGCAGACCGGGCCCTGATCGTACGCATCTCAGAGCCCATCAAGAAGGAATGGGCCCGCAAGCTTCAGCTAGATATTAACGCTATGCTCAGCGATGGGCCTTACAAGGAGCAATATAGACGCGACATGATCATTTGGAGTGATGAGGTGCGCAGGCGCGATTATGGCTTCTTCTGTCGTGCGGCCATGCAGCAAGCGGCCGTCCAAAATGTCGACTACGTCATTGTCAGCGATATCCGCCGTAAGAACGATATACGCTGGTTTCGCGAGACCTACGGCCCCGAAATGGTTGAGACGCTGCGCCTGACATCGCTGCCGGAAACGCGTAAGGCGAGAGGCTGGAAGTTTACTGCTGGCGTCGACGATGAACCCTCCGAATGTGATTTAGATGATAGCACCTTTGACTTTGTCCTGGCAAACGATAGGGACGAGGAGAGCGGAGAGCATATAATCGATCAACTGATGGCAATGCTCAAGCTTAGCTAATTCTGTGGCCTTAACATTGAACGAACATGTCAGATATTTTATATAGCAATCTTTTTATAATATATTTTTATGCACTTAAAATTGAGTAGTTGATTGGTGGGCTGTGTAAATGACAATGAAGGCAATTAATTTACTAAAGATGATTAGTAATTGATGTGGCACTAGCCCTCGTAGTTGCCAGACATGAGCAGGCGTAGACTGGGCACATTAAGCCGCTCGCTGGGATTGAGCTGATCATCAAAGCTTTGCAGCGACAGCTGCAGCTGCGGCTTGCGTATATCCTTCTCCACCGAACGTGAACGCAAATGGACGCGGTTCTTGTTAACACAGCTCAGGGGAGTGCGTTGTGTGCGCTGTGCTGAATCGGGCGTACTCTTCGGTGTGCTCGTCAGACCCTCAGGCGCATCCTCATAAATTTTCGGCTTGCTGGCACGAGCCGGCTTGCGTGGCGCAACGCGTCGCTTGTTACCTAAACGCACACGTTCCAAATGTTTGTTGGCCGGCTGTAGTCGAGGCTGTAGTTGGGGCTGTTCCTGTGCCTGTGGCTGCGGTTCATCTAGCGGCATCTCTGCAGAGGCACTTACAAACGAGGCCATGCTGCTCTCGTTGCTGAGATTAAGCGTCAGCGTTTCTAGGATCTCCTCAAGCATTTGCGTTTCGCGCGCCTCAGTCTCATCATCGTCGCAGAAAATGATCGGTGTGCGCTCAACACCGACGCTGGGGGATCGCGGATCGTGGCTCTGCAAAGGCGGTGTTTTCTGCAACATCATTTCGCAGGGCATTGTTTCCTCTTCATCGTATGGCAGCGACACTATCTCCAGTGAGCTGTTGTTGTGGCTTTCACTGCACAGATTCGGTTGCTCAGAAGCTGGCACAACTGGAGCAGTAGCTGGCGCCCGCGTCTCAACAAACAGATCGGAAAAGGTGTCATCCATGTTAAGCGTCCGATCAATAGCCGCATCGAGCATAAGAGGAGTGCGATTTAGCTGTGGTGAGCGTGGATCCGACAACGAAAAGCCTTTAAGCAAGCGTTTGCGCAGCTGCGTAAAAGTATTTTCGGTGCCAACGCCAGAAGATACCACCTGGAGGGGTATCTGACTTACGGGAGGTTGAGCCGGCAATATCTATGGCAAAGTTATGCCCGATTTATTATCAGGAAAGTAGAATATTATATAGTTTACTTACATTCAGAGGCGTGCGGCAGATATTTGGTGAGCGTGGATCAAGCAGCGCATTGTTGTCACGGCCAGGAGAAGTCGACATCTTGTTTGATGGTTGCTGGACAGCAGCACCTGCAATGCGCAATCTGTTTAGTGTTGGTGTGTCTGGCAAGTAGCTGCCCTCCATTTTAGTAGCTTTTGTGCCCATAGCAAATTGATTTAATTTTCTACGAAATTTGAAGTATTTAGTTATGCGCTGTTGTATTTGAAATGAAAAATGCGGGAGACGTTGCTAGCGTCGATATACGCATTTATCGATTTTTTTAAATATGTGACTTTATTTTTATGTTTGCGCTGGTAATACCTTACAATCTATGGTTATCGGCGTTTACATTGGTGATGAGCAAAAGAAAAACGATATATTTTTCGATTGAACAAACTACACGGATGGATTAAAAAAAAAAACGAGAAGAGTGTCTTTCATTATTTCGAACTACGAGAGAAACTCGAATATTAAACAGTATTAGTAAAACAAAATGTGCGCGTGTGTGCAAAGTATGTAAGAAGTATTTTTTAAGCGGCGGGAGCTTAAATGGCTATTGCAAACACCAAATGTAAGTTTATTGAAATTGGCAAAGTTCGTGTAAAAAGTAATTGTTAAAGAAAAATGCTTGGTTTGTGACAATTGGCCGTCAAGGAAAATGTTTCGGCCATTTTTACGCAGTACGCAAAATACGATTGCCTCTTAATGTGTGCGTGTGCTGTGTATGTGTATAGCCCCTGCATAAGGCACCGCAAGCAGCAGTAAATTTTGTTTCGTATGTACATACACACGTATGCGTCGGGTTTTTTTTCAATAGCTATCTCCTTTACACACAGACACACTGCACTCACCATGCGTCGCTCAACGCGGAGACTTCCGAAGCAGCGCGTAAAATAAAACTAGTTTGTGGCGTTGCCAACTACTTCGCCTATGCAGCCACATTTTGTCTTACATTAATGTAGGTTAGTGCGCGGCAACGGCCGTCACCTCCATTTATTGTAGTAATTGTTTTATTTATTAATTATTTTTTTGTTTTGCATATTTTTGTGTTTTGGCTCCTTATAATTAAACCACTTTGTGTTCGTAGCCGGCAAGCGAAAAGTAAACAATTTGTCTGCGCAGTTGGCAACGCGTTCGCTGTCTCGACGTTTTGTAGACTTTCTCTCTTGCTCCAAATATACACATACATGTATCTGTGTGTGTGTTGTGTGAGACTGTATTAACAGAAAACAACGAAATTTCATTCATTGCTCTTTTTCGAGTAAAACCTACACGCACAAGTAGTACGTTTTCCATCTACAATTACGATGCCATTGCGCACAAATGCTTGAATTATATGTACACTTTAATGCGATTAAGCATTTTGTTAAAGTACTCAACGGTTCTAATTGTGCAACATGTAATAATTGCAAACGTGCGTCCAAAGAATGGTAGGGTCAGTATGAAGACAGTCGCTATCGTTTTTGGGTACAGGGTGTGCCTCCGCCTGCGCGTATCAGGTGCAAAGACGTTAACGCGTCGGCAACGTAAAAGTCTCCACGCGACCAGAAGATACTTGGACATTCCAGAATTTAACATAGTATAGGCGGCAGCGAACGTCGTTTGATTGCCGTTGCCGTCATTGGCCGCGTTTTTTCACACATTCCTCGCGCTGTCAGGCATACATACATACAAACACTTGTACGGTGACTATTGATTTCAATCAACTTTGTCCGTTCTCTCCATCTCTCTCAGGCTCAGCCACTCTCTCTTGTGCCCATTTGTCAATTAAGCAGCACGTCCGCTTGTACGCTCATCAACAATTTGCCGCTGTGCGTGTGTGTGGGTTTATATGTGTGTGTAAATTCCATTTCCTGTTTATAGTAGGTATGCTGCACACACCCGTCCGCCGTCAGCTTCGGCCCCATGCTCAGGTCGTCTTAGCTTGCCACCACCACCACCATAGCGTCGGTCGTTGTCGTCTGTATTTTTTTTCTCACTCCATAGTTTGATCCCTTGTCGGTAGCAGCCGCAGCAGCAGGCAGCGGCGGAGCGCTATGTACAGTACGTGCCACTTCCTTTACATTCAGAAAAATAAAAATTGTTCACACACACACACACACATACATGCATACATACATACATGTATATACACACACAGTGAGACGGGCGGGCTAAAACGACCGACAACCAGACGGACAGTTCAACGGGGAGCGTTCGTTTGGCGTCTGCGCGGTATGTTTTGTTGTTGTAGTTTGTTTTGTTCTTGTACAGTTGCAAAGACAGGCAAGAGTACGGACAAAAACGAGTTTTCTGTCTCGACCGATGTGGCAACGCCGGCATCCTCCCGGCTCCCCTTTGTTTGCTTATTAGAAAGAAGCAAAGTGCCGCTGCGCGTTTTGTTGTTTTTGCTGTCTTTACGTAAGAAGGCCGTCGAACTCTACATAGAGAGCAGCATGCAAATAAAGCGAGAGAGCGCGAGTGTAGTGAATGCCTGCGTCTGTGTGTGCTCGTCTAATGATTACCGTTACAATTTGCATTGGCTGTCTAGTCAAACAACCGTCTCGCGACCCAGACTGGACGACCCAGCCCCAATCTCAAATTGGCAACTTTTTCACATGACCTTTTACCGTCAATGCCAAAACTACGCTGAGCTTGATTGTCTGTGTGCGTGGCGCTCAATGCTTGCAGCATAGTTTTATTGATTTTTTGTCGTCAGGTAAAATTAATGTTGTACTCAGCTGCGTTGCGTGCATTCATTTAGCTCAGGTTCAATGCACACAACAAGTGCAATAACTACTAGTTCTCTTGTAAAGCTATCAGGCAGGTATCAGAAATGTACAAAATAATATTTCTCGGTCGTAAGATTTCGGTGGAATGCTTCTAACGATAAAACAATTTGGCAATCTTTAAATGAAGGCATTATTTGGAAACAATAATTGCAACTATCTGGCAACATCGACATCCTCGGCGCGCGTAAACGGCCTCGTTTCGTTTTGGCGCGTACAAATTAAAAAAACTCAGACCCAATGCAATGCCCTGAAGAATGTTGTTTACGTGCGCGCCTGCGCATCGACCAGATTTCTACGAATTGACCAAAACAAGCTCCAAGTGGCTGCAGAAAATGTTGTCGTCGGAGTCTGGCTATCATCCTGTTCGTCCCGTTTGTCTACCTGCTATTTACCTCCGCTCTGCGTCGCTTCTTGTTTGTGTGTTTTTACTCCTCCAAACATGTCTGTGGCGGCGCGTCAACATGTTGATCCTACTATAGCGTGCGAAACGTTCTGGCAACACCAAAACAAAAACAACAGACCCCAACTCGCATGTTGTTGTTATTTATGCTATTTTGCCGCATTTGTGCTGTGTGTGTACGAGCCGCCGACAATAAACACATACAGATACGGAGAGAAAAAGAAAACAGCGTTGGCGTCTACTTTGGTCTCTCATTTAAGCAGTCTGGCCACGCTCTGCTTTGGCTCTTTGCTTTCGTTAGCTACGTTTTGTGCAGTTGTCTTTCACAGCGTTTGCGATGCGGTCGTGTTTTCTGGGCTGCTGTTGGCGGCGTCGGTTCGGCTTTATGCCAAGTGATTTTGTTTTTAAAATTTTCTCTCATAGATTTATTTTTTGGTAATCAATGAAAATAAAAATATGTTTATGAAAGTTTAGTTAATAAAAGTGATATAAAAATGTTCTTAAAAACTCTAAATACCTATAATCGTGTCACATGTATTGCGTTTACTTGTTTATAATTAAAAGTATACTTTATAGGCTCGTTTAATTCGACAAAAGCGTTTCTAAATATTGAAGTATTCATAGTGTCAATTATTTGTCATACTTTATACTCGTGCTATTGCCCGCTCCCCGATTGTTTGAGCCAAATTCTTAGAATTCTTGACAACATTCCCGCGCGCATACATATACACACACACAAGCGAGTAGCTAAAAAGAAAAAAATATGTGTATATATACTCTCCCTACACGGCGAAGTGTAGACATAAACACACACACAGACGCATGCACTTGAACTCTCACGCACACACACGAATACACACAAACATACGCCCAATCCAACACACCTCGAAATTGGTTGTTGTCGCAACTAAGTGGAGACATTGCTGTCTCTTTTGCACACATTCAACAACAGAAACTAGTAGGACTTGTTTTTTGCGCGTTGTTTTTACGCAAAAAAAAAAGAAGAAAAAAACCGGTAAGATTTTAGAAACGGCAGCAGCAAAACACAAATGTGATTCTGTGGTTAGGTGTGGTGTGTGTGTGTGTGTGTGTTGCCTGTTGATGTCTCGTTGCGGTAGAATTCCGCGTTAATCATAGTTTTCACACACTCCGCTTTTCTTACAGTTTTGTAAACACGCACACGCACACACATGCTCGCATACAACGAGCAACGAACTCGTGCAGCAGCGACGCCCAGAATGAAACAGCATAAAGCAACATGAAAACTACAGCAACAACAAAAAACACAGCAGCATAAAAACATAGAGAAAGCGAAAGACAGAGAGAGAGGGAGAGAAAGAGAGAAGCAGTTAAACGGCAACGACCCGAGCCGCAGACGCTGCAGCTACAGATATATTAGCGGGTGTCATTGTTGTTGATGTTCTTTTGTGCTGTGCCTGTGCCCGGTCCGTCCTGTATGTATGTATGCACACTATTTTTGTTGTTGTTATTGTTTAGGTTGTTTGGTGTTGTTGCGGTTTATGTCCTGCAAGTAGATAAATAAAAGATTTCTATTAGCAACATTTATTACTCGTTGCCCCAAACCTGGTAATGGCCACAATCATCAAACTAGTTTTGATGCTTATTGTTATTGTTGTTAGCATTATTAGTAATAGTCAAGAAGCAAAACACAAAAAATGCAGACGATCTTGACCTACGCGCGCTCAATTTCAATCGCAATTCTGATGGTTATTCAAATTGTACTTTGTGCGGCTTTCGTTTACTTCCTCTCGCAATACTAAATACACCAGCAAGCATGCAGATTTTAAATTGTTCAAACGGAAATTTTAATGATCGCAAAGTGGTGGAAGAACGACGAACGCCGCGACGCTGTCAATCAAGAAGCACAGACAACAATATCTCAAATTTGTGCTTTTAATTGCGTTTACTTTTCTTTGTTTTGTTGATGTTTAAGTATTCAATTTCTTAATGTCCATTTATTAACATTGAGCTTGTCGTTATCACAAAATTGGCGACAAATTGACGTGTTTGGTGTCGGCGCCACAATTAAAGTAAATATTGTATATGCATACATACATATATGCTTATACGGTTGTCATTCTAATAAAGTACAAAGATTGAGAGAATTCGTAAAACAGATTTACATTGCATTTGTTACAACCAGATCGAAAAGTTACCGTTTTGTCAGCATAATGTCCAATGTACCGCTGCAATCTATAAGTACCAGTTTTGGTACTTTTTTGTACGACATGTGGCAACATTGACTGTCGAGTGTTATGCGCGCGCCAAGTGATGTTTTTTTTTTGATAGGCTGTGCTTATGTGTTTAAGCGTATGTGTGAATGTGACATACACATGTGCAACGATTGATTATTTTTAATGGCGGCGTCCAGCGTACATTGATCGTATTATATTATCATATTTATTGTTTACTCTAAATGTTGTCGTTTGTAAATGTATTATTATCGCCAAATAAATAGCGTATGCTTAATTTGCTTTCATTCATTTTGCACAATTCACAACGTTCGACGACTCCATTCAGATTTGTGTACTACAGCTAAAATCAACGTCGTTCCCCATCATCGCGTCGTCAACAAAACTAACAGTAACATGTTGGCTCGACTTCTGTTATTATTATTATTATTACTATTTTTTGAATACGCGGGGCGACAAAGCGAAAGCCGGTGGTAAGACATAAAGCGGAACAACAAAGTAAGAGTACCAATTGAGCAGTAGCAGCAGCAGAATGTGTGAAGGAGCGAGAGATAGAGCGTGTGTGCGCATGTGCATTGCACAGCGCTGAGCGAGGAAGAGAGAGAGAGAGAATTGTGTCATTCTTCAAAGTGGTTGTGAAATGTTTGCCTTTTTATGCCTACTCATATCACAGCCAGCTTTGAGGAGCGACACGATGCTCAGCACAAAAACAAAAACATTCATTAAAAAAAATACAAAATAAATAAATAAATTAAAAATAATTACATGTACATACATCGACATAATCGATCAATTATAAGCAATAGTTTTCGGCTGCAATCTTCATTACATTTATCATTGAACAAAATTAACACACCAACCAACCCCTCTGTTGATCCCTCTATAAATGTCTATCTATCTGTCCACCTTCCACACACATACATATGCATCCAGTCTACTTCTTACCATAAGATTGGCACATTCATGCTGCGCTCTCAAAGTGGTTGTGAAATGCATTTTAAAGCTTTGCGCGCATATCACAGCCAGCTTTGATGAGCTTAGCGTAATGTAACGTACATCAATCGATCGATCAATCAATCAATCAATCAATCAATCAATCAATCAATAAAATCAATTCAATTCAATCATAACGTACCTTGCACCTACATCAAGTCCAGTTAGAACTGGTAACGCCTGGGATGGAATTGGAATCATCATTTGGGCATCAAAACAACAAGTGGCAATTATTATTATATTCGTACATCACGACGAACTCTAAAATAGAAAAAGTAACAAAAAAACGACTGCATCAAATCAATTTTGATGTTGCTTATCTAAGCCTCATCAAGTGGTTGTGATATGGATACCCGACGCATATCACAGCCAGCTTTGATGAGCTAGGATAATCAACGGAAAACAACACGAAAAACAATTAAATCTATTTGAACAAAATTACAGTGAATTCGTGTCTGAAATGTTGTGAATAAATTGTCCTTATATACAAGTATTATTTAGCACTGATTTTCTTTCAAATATATATCCTTAGACATCTATTTTTTAATTATTTATAAATATGGGCTTAAGTACACTTTAATATTCTGTCGTGTTTATTAATGTGTTTGTATCTTTTCCACAGATACGCTGTTCCAAACACTCGCACACACAACACACAACAGATACAGATACTGATGCATATGTAGATGCAGATGCAGATACTGTATGCGAAAAGAATTCCAAAGATCCTTTGACGACGCTTTGCTGTGCATAACGATTTAATAATACTTTGTGATAGTCTTGTTTTATTCTTCTTCTTTTTTTTACGTATATACATACTGTAGTAGTATTTTAAGATTTTAAGAGAAACCAAACAAAGTTGCAAACCAAATAGAATCAAGCTACATTCTGCAAATGCATTCCACAAGCAGCACAAAAACCACAACTATTCGACTATTCGACAAGTTCAAAATGGGCCTTGCGCTGCTGCTGCTGCTGGTTAGCTGCTTGGGCTGTCCGGCCATAATTGAGGCATGCTCCAGCCGCACCGTGCCCAAGCCGCGTCCATCGATCTCGTCGTCCATGTCCGGCATTGCGCTGCCGCCAACACAGGCGCCGCCGCCAACAACGAGCACAACAACAATGCGCACAACCACAACAACGACGACGCCGAGGCCGAACATTACATTCCCGACATACAAGTGCCCGGAGAACTTTGATGCCTGGTACTGTCTGAACGATGCCCACTGCTTCGCCGTGAAGATTGCCGAGCTGCCCGTCTACAGCTGCGAGTGCGCCATCGGATTTATGGGCCAGCGCTGCGAGTACAAGGAAATCGACGGATCCTATTTGCCCAAGCGACCGCGTCCCATGCTCGAGAAGGCCAGCATCGCCAGCGGTGCCATGTGCGCCCTCGTCTTTATGTTGTTCGTCTGTTTCGTTTTCTATTTGCGTTTCGAGCAGCGTGCAGCCAAGAAGGCCTTCGAGCTGGAGCGCGAGCTGCAGCAGGACGAGGAGGGCAGCGATCAGGAGCAATGCGAGTGCTGTCGGGCGCAGTGCTGCGCTTCCGGAGATGAGCCGCTCGTTGTGGACCGCAAGCTGCCCTATCATATGCGGCTGGAGCACGCCCTGATGTCGTTCGCCATCAGGCGCAGCACAAAGCTTTAAATCGAAACTGAAATACTCAATATTTATATAGACAAGTATAATATCTGTGTAACAACCAATCGATTTGCCTTGCCCATGTTATGCATGTTATGTCAAAGTTTAAAATGCGTATTACGAATTTCAATGTGCTTTAGTCGTAGTCAAATATCGTCCTATTAACTAAATGTTAAGTGTAACCTTTGTATTCCAAGCCACAATCCAATCCCAAGTGTGTGGTGCTTATATCGAGATTTCTATCTATCTATCGCTAACGTGAATCGAATATGTATTTTTTTACCTTACGCTAGAGTTATATTTATTTTATTCTTAACCGATACACTTATGCACAAAAACACATCCACAACGATCGAAAGAACAAAAACACGCCAAGTATTATTTATCGCACCTAGATACGTACGACATATATTGAGAGTTTTTACAATAAAAATGAGCTGCACTCGCATATTAATTATGCTAAAGGAGCACATCCGAAATGCTGGTGTTTTTTTAAGGGCGGAGAATTGGCGGATCGATCCCGCATCTTTTCAGAGAAAATATAGCCTATTGCATCACTAAGATGTAACTAAAGGAGTATTGGAGCATTACAAGTTTTGTAACGAAACTATTTGAACAATAAATTCAAAAATTGTGGTATGCTTTGAGGCTGTCATCGAAATTGATGCGGATTGAAAATAAATGAAATCTATATTGCGGCTGCAAACCGAATCAGATTTAACATGGAATTTCAATTCAGGCTAAAAATTAAAAGAAACGCGCCGTTTTTTCAAACCCAACGAGGTTTTAAACGGTAAATTCACCACACCGCCGTCAATTCGTCGCAGTGTGTACACACTTGAGTGGGTTTTTGGTCGATAATCGGTTATCGAATAACGTAACCGTTCTTAGAATTTTTGTTATCGTTGCTTGAAGCTTTCCGTTCAAAATGTTAACCGTTTCCGCGGACTTAATTGTTGTTTATAGTATTTTCAAATTATTATATGTATTATATTTGCAAACGTGCTTAGGTTGATTTTTGAAGTATTGGTATTGCCTAGTTCTTACATTTTTTTTTGATTTAGCGGGTAAAGCTAATAATTTTTAGGTATTGTGACCAGGGTCACAGCTTGCGTAAGGATAACAAAATCGTTTCCTTGACCAGTTCCAGCAGATCCAAATCATGACGAATCCAATGCACAGCTGGTTGAGCACATTGAGACCAGCTTCGATGTGCTGCAGAGCAGTCGCTGATTTAGTTCCCTTTCCTTCAGCTTTCATAGCATACTAAAACGATTTGAGTTCTGGATATATGCGTGGATCGCTATTGGATGACTTAGTATCTTATCAAGTAGTACAATGTACACTTTCAACAAGTAAAAATATTGGATTTAATTAAAAATACCTACTGTCATTTTCGATTAGCGATCGTTTACCTGAGGTAATCTTATGGGTAGGGTGTTCTGAGATAAGCCCAACATGAGTTGACGAAACTGTATTTACAGTTGGGAAACATATCATCATCATTAAATTAATTCAAATTGATATGTAACACATGTTTTCATAAGTATAAAAAGAATTTCGTCAACTCAAATTATTTCGATATTCTGCAAAAACGTAAGACATATATCTTTCTTCCAAATATTTCTTTTTGAATAAGTCTGGGATTAATTAATTGAATTATTTAGTTGAGGGACAGATGCGAAAAAACTTAAGACTCTATTTCCCTATTTAGGCTTATTAATTTTGGTAATTGAAACATCTTTCAAGTAACTACTTAAAATAGAACAAATATTGTTATTTTTTATTTCCAATTTTTATCAGACCGAAGCAAAGGCCGTATTAACAGCTTTTGCTCACATTTGGAATACAAATTATAGAGTATATTGATAATGCAAAAAAAAAATGGTAATTAAATCGCATTTGGTAAATATCTCGAGAACAATTAAGTATTTTAATTTTTTGGAAATATATAAAAATATTTTGAATAAAGAAATTTAATTTTTTTTTAGTTTTTTTTTCCAATTATTACATTTTGTTTCGACAAGTCTCAGTTTTATTTCATACGTCATTTTTGATGTGTTGCAATCAAAATTCCAAATGATTCACAGCGAATCGTATCAAAATAGGTTCTTAATTATCTAAAGATCTGACTGCTAGTGTCAAAATAAATCCGTAAGTTTTAGTACAATTTACGTGCCCAGCCCGAGGCACGAGGCACCGAGAACCTTATCTCGAATTTCGACTCGGACAATGCGAAAAGCATATTTTGATGAGGGGGAATTCCGGGTGCTTTGCTTGCGCCGGCATTTAGGTACAAATGTGTCTTGTTGGGGATTTCACTAAATTATTGGAATTTCTTCCAAGTTGTAAACATAACAATCGAGGGTCGAGCCAATTGGCACAATTATTTGCGTACGTAATTAAAGGTCTTCCTGATTAGAATTGGCCCGATATGGCCTTAAATTTATGATAGAGTCCCTTGATGGGGCCATAGCTGGAGAGGACCAGCGACACGAGCGTCAGACACTTCATCAGGATTTGGAAGTCCGTTTCGACGCGATTCTTAAAGTAGCCCGTCTGATAGCCGTAATACTGGGCGACCAAGGCGATGACAAAGCACGCGAAGCCCACGAAATTGTGGAAGGCCTTATTCAGCAGCGGCGTGATCAGCTTCTTGATCCTCGTCGAGCAGAGAGCTGCCAGTCCCGAGCTCATGGCCAGCAGGCACAGTACAAAGGCCGTTATGCCTAAGGGAATACCAGATGATTCAGAGTAAGTCCGGCCAATATTCTCGCCTTTCACTTACCCAATCGGCCGTGCGTGGTCTGCAGCATGAATCCCTTTTGTATCATCTTGATCAAGGCGCCGGCGGCGCCACAGCCCCCGCCCAAGGTCAGCAGGACCCAGTGTATTGTGGTCTGAGTGCTCCGCTTGTAGCTGTTGGTCAGGACATTGCCTCCGTAGTGGACCATGACGCCCTCGGCCATGAAGAAGGAGAACTGCAGTACACAGAAAGATGGGGAACTGTTAAGCTGCATTTTCTTGCGTGTGCCGGGCACAAAACCTACGCCAATCGTAACCAGCCAGGCGTGCAGCGGAGTGGTTCCCGGGTTAGTTCGCAGCGTGATATACGACATGAAGATCGTGACAAATCCGATGCACATCTGATTGAGCACATTCAGAAAGTATTCCAGCCGCTCGAGCGGCTGCTGGGCTGATTCACCCTTCGGCGTATTGTGCGGCATTCTCGAATAACGTTGAACGGACCGAGATTCGCTGACTAGCACAAAGGGCGGCAATCGCTGGGCACGTGGATGCGGATCCGGACTGGGGCTGGCTTGCGACGCGTTCGTGCTGCCGTAGTCGACGACTCTCTGCGGGCTACTGATGATCGCCGGCAGATGCTCCGTCATTGTGGCCCCAAAAACACCGAGCAGAGTTTATTCCTCAACTGCGTATACCCTGTACACAGGAGCGGGTGAAGGGGAAGTATGATATTGTGGAAATGTGTATATCAAGGAGAGATATATATAAATATAGCAATAGTTGATTTTCTCAGTCTGTTTAATTTGGAATAAGGGTCTTCCTTTCATAATTAAAAGCTCATCCGATCGATATTAATCGATACGAGCTCAAACGAGCTAGAAACTCCAAATTTAGCATGATCTTTCTCTTTTTGCATCTATCTTAATATGTATATATTATATATATTTCGGATCTGTATTCCAAATGTAGTATGTGGGTTCTCTTTTAGAATACACAGATCCAAAGATCTTCCCCTTTTTGGATCTATCCCAATACTCCCAAATTTTGTAAGCTAAAGCTTTATATCTTAATATATGCATCAATATTTTGTAACTGTATTAAATTTGTATAAATCGGACTATGAACACAGTAAAGTATTTTCCACACAAGAGTAAAAAATTACAGGCTATCTGCTAGTCGGCTACTCCCGACTCTTACCTGTTGAGCTTGTACGCTGCGCTTATCAGTTGGGAGCAATAATGTTATTTTCGTGTTAAATTTATTAGTGGCAACAAAAAAACTCGCCGACTGATAATTGCGTCCAACAACTATTTTACGAGTCTCGCATATTTTGTACACATTCAAATTGGCGCAATTTTCGAAGCGTGTTTCCGAATTATTGTAGGTCCAACAAATAAATTCAATTCCAATCAATAATTTTAATTGCGCGAGTCATAAATACGCCCATTGACTGCTTCGCTGGCCGTAAATTATTCGACTAATCTCATTTTTGTACAAGCTCGAGTGAATACATCCCATATACATATGTATGTGTGTGAGTACAAATGAGTACATATAAACCACAAGCCGCAATAACCAATACTTACATATAACTACATATGTGTGCGTGTGCGTGTGTGTGTGTGTGTGTGTGCGTGCATTTGTTAATGCGAATATTGTTGATTGCATATTAATTTCCTCTGGGGAAGCTGTTTAAAGTGTTGTCTAGTCTGGCGTGCCGACGGGGAGATACCCTGTATCCAACTATTACAATTCGAATTTTCTATACACGATATTTCTCACCTTTCCTCCTCTTTAATTCTCGGGAATTACAAACGAATGTGTGCAAGCCTTCGAATATGCAGGGTATACGCTTGCACCACTTAAAAGTGGGTCGAACAGGGTATATCAGCTTTGTGCAAATGAGCGTAACAGGCAGAGGGGGTGGGGGGGGCATATTCGACCCCGCAAGTAACATATATATATTCTTGATCAAAACGACGGCTGAGTCGATTTAGAGCTAGAGGCTTGGAGTATATATACCCTATACCCTATATACAATATACTATATACCGTAACGAGTTTATCAATCAATTTCTCGCTCTTATTTTAAACATCGCTTAAAATTAATTTTGAGACTTTGGTTTTAAAGCTTTTTCTGTTTAAGTTTTTGTGTTTAGGCTCTCGTATATTACACACATTTTAAGAATATTCCCCCAACATTTGTAAAGCTAGAGCTTTGTTATTTGGTATATACACATTTAAATGCCCTGCAAATATCATGAAGATCAACAACATTAATTACATACACATATATAGAGATACTTCACAATTCTGAATAGTGCAGGGTATTTTGTGGTCGAGCTAACCCGACTGCCTGCTCTCACCAGTTTATTTTGTTACAAAAAGGGGAGGTATACAAAATAATAGATTCTAAATATACATGTATAATATATCAAAATGAATCTGAAGATCGTAAAAACCGTGATATTTATGTGCACAAAGATAAACTACATTCTATAGAAATTTCTAAGCTGAGCTGTTGATGTTGACCGAGAATACTTGTACATGGAAAAATACATACTATATATGCACGGTGATTTCCCAGCCTATCCTTTCCTATCTTATCCCATCTACTTTACACTCTATATATCTAGTATAAATTTCCGTACTTATGAATAAATTATAGAGACATCTCCGACCCCATAAAGTATATATATTCATGATCAGTATCAACAGCCGAGTCGATATAGCCATGTCCGTCTGTCCGGCTGTCCGTCTGTCTGTTTCTATGCGAACTTGTCTCTCAGTTTTTAAGCTATCTTTATGAAACTTTGCTGAAGTGCCTCTTTATGTTGCACGCAGTACATATGTCGGAACCGGCTGGATCGGACCACTATATCATATGGCTACCATAGGAACTATCGTTCGAAATTAAGTTGTTGTATGGAAAACTTTTTTGTTTTTCAAGATATCTTGACCAAACTAACCATTTATAAGTTTCACTATGTTTCCTACATTTAAGCAAAATCTTATTTACATCGGACTTCTATATCATATAGCTGCCATAGGAACGATCGGTCGAAAAGTAGTTTCTTGTATAAAAAACTTTTTTGTTTATTAAGATACCAAACTTGACCAAACTGGGCATTTATTAGTTTTACTATGCTCCTCATATATTTGCAAAATCCTATTAAGATCGGACCACTATATCATATAGCACTATACCACTATATCGGACCACTATATCATATAGGAACGATCGTTCGAAATTAAGTTGTTGTATGGAAAACTTGATTGTTTTTCGAGTCATCTTAACCATAGTCGGCATTAACTATTTTCCCTGTGCTTCTTAGATACGGGCAAAGTACTATGAACATTATGAAAAGGTTGGGTCTCGCTTCTATTTATTGTATTTTCTTAAATAATATAGTAAATTAAGATAACTTTTTACTTTTACTTTAGAGCCGGAACTCGACTAACTCCTGCCTTCTTAGCTGGGAAGAGGGGCATAGCTGGCCGGAAGGGCAAATAAAACAGCTCCATCGAAAATTGTTTATTCCAATTAGGCATTTAGTTTTCACAATTTAATGTATTAAATAATCGACCATTAATAAATAAATAAAAAATATATAACAAAAATATCACAAGAACTTCTCAAAGTGAAATTTTAAATTTATATATTCTCCTTCTCTCCTCATGACAGCTTGGAGCTGCTTTTAAGGTAAATTATTAATGTATAATTTATAAATGTCATCTAACAATTTATTAATGTGTAACGAGGGATCTACGGATCAGCCAAAGGCCACCTTGTTATTACGTAAGTTACATTAGCTTAAACATTATTCATAGCCTAAACTTATAATAAATACTTAGTACCAACTAAAACTATATACAATGCGCCTTAGCTGGCAAAGCTAACACATTTCTGATACAGAGACTTGAGCGGGGCGATGCAGGTTAAGACCATTGCGACGAGGGTCACGACTTGCATGAGGATCACGAAATCGTTTCCTTGACCCTTGAAGATGCCCGTCTGCGTATAGCCGTAGAACTGTGCCAGCATGGCAATCACAAACGTGGCCAGGCTGAGCAGGACGTGGAACGTCTTGTTGGCCAGCGGAGACACAATCCTCGACAGGCTGCGGGCCAGCACAGCGATTATGCCGCTCAGCAGCGAGATCAGGCTCAGCACAAAGGCAGCAAAGCCCAGCCGGGAATGGATGGTGGGTCCAAAGTTCCAGTCGTCGCGGATCAGCTGCACCAGGCAGCCGGCCACCCCCATGCCGCCGCCGAGTATCTGGAGCACCACATGGACCGCCGTCTTGTGCTTTCGCGTGTAGCGCAGGGTCAGCCAGTTGCCGTCGTAGAAGCACATCATGGCCTCGGCCATCAGGAACACATAGCCGAACGACGCCAGCCAGACGTGCAGCCGAATCCCAGCCAGACCAGTGCGCAAACAGTTCCAGCAGATCCAAATCGTGACGAATCCAATGCACAGCTGGTTGAGCACATTGAGTCCAGCTTCGATGTGCTGCAGGACAGTCGCTGAATTGGGTCTCTTGCCTTCAGCTGTCATTTTGGTTGTGAGTGTATATAAAATCCGTAGAGGACCCGCAGGATCGTTATTAAATTTTATTTTAGATTGAGCAGCTCTTTGGCTTGGACCCAAAAAAGTTCGCCGTCGGAGTTTTATGCAATTTTTTGAGCACAAAACTATTTGTAAATTAGCTTAAAACTATTCCATTAACTTTCGTTCAATCAATAGAAAGATTTCACTTTTCCACAGGATATTAAATCCTGCAGCACCTGTTAATTGAATTGAATTGAATTGAATTGAATTTAAATTTATCACATTGCTGACTGCATTCACGAATAAGGAACAGTCAACTAATTTGAACTCTCTTTATGCATAGCGAAACCTTTTTATACCTTGTACCCATTGTTAAATTTTAAAAAGGGTATATACCACACAGACTTAGGTACGACCTATATATATTGTTTATAAGCTCCAAAGTTCGCTTCAGTTTAGATTCTACGAATCTCCCTTCAATATGTGATTTACCAGTTTTAGCATTAGCTGCAACTCGATCAAATCGATGCCTGAAAGTTATAATAACTTGATTCCTTGGACAGGTGCATTATTTACTCTCCCTTTTTGCAAATCGTAATTAAATTTGGATGCCCAACTCTGAAGATATTCATTTAATTTCATATAAATTTAAAATAAAAATATAAAATAAATTTCATATACATTCCCAGACCTGTTTAGAGAGTATTTCCTAGTCAAGCTAAAATAAAAAATAAAAAAAAATGTCATATATATTCCCAGACCTGTCTACAGGGTATTTCCCAGTCGAGCACTCTCCCAGCCACTTTCTCACTTGTCATTGACAACAATTACTTCGATAGTTGGCGTATCAGTAAATGCATAGAATTTAAAGGATTATAATATATATAATTTAACGCCCTCACGTTCGCATTGGACAACATCCACACATTCAGTTATCGCAAACGTTTTCAATACGTTTGAGGGTCACTTTTGGGTCTTTATCAACAGGTAGCATCTTTATCGGTCACCAAATGCATCAGCTTCAGCTTTTTGAAGATAATTATTTCTATACTTCAGATAGTTAATTCCTGTTCTGTGCTCAGGCGCACGTTACCCATTATGGATTAAGAGCATACTTGCTATACCCTGTAACTATTAAAAACAGGTATGATGGTTTCGTGTGAGGGGCACCCAATCCCATAGAGTACGGAGAAGCCCAGTCACACCTTCCCAATACTAATTACTTGATAAATTGTTTGTAGCAGAAGAGAATAACAAAGAGAAGATTCCGTAGAGAATACCCTGGAATGTTTGTTTTCATTATCACAGATAAAGATCTATAACTATTTTGTGACTAATTTGTGACTTAATACAACACTCAGCTTAACGATTATTTAAATAATAAATATAGATATTCAGGAGTCTATGGGAATATGGAACCAGGATTCTGTCTTTATGAATGGAGTATTGTCTGATCTTGTACCGCCATGAGCCGAACCCAAGGCCAAATAGGTCTGACTAGGGATTATTAAGGGGCTCCTCATTTATTAATGATCGACAAAACGAGTTTCAACCTATTTAAATACATAGGAATAACAAAATTATAAGCTGAAAACCTCATCAAACCTATTTTATATGACGGTCCGGTAAGCAATGCCCCATTTCACAGGTAATTTTGCCAGTTTCGAGACTATAGCTAAGAAGAAAGGAGTTACCTGAGTAAATATTAAAAACAATCTTAATTAGACATATTCTTTTAGAATATATATGAACTAAGAGAAAAGAAGAAGAGTTTATTAGAATGGTTCAAGGAAATTGGCAATAGAATATTAAGTATACTCGGTAAAGATATTGAAGGAGGGAGATTTTCATAATTAATTTAATTCAAATTGTGTAACTCCTCAAGCCATCGCTTGACCTAACCCAGAATACTCCTGACCCCATTGTCCATTGTCATAAAATGAGAGTCTAATTTTATTTTATGATCAAGAATTACATTTAGATCATATTGCATTAGAGCTGAAAACCTTTCATTTGGAACAGTTTTGATTTTACAGGTTATCCTAATAGGAGGACCGAAGGAGGACTAAGGTCGCCTCGTAATAGATTAGAGGAAGCCATATAAGGATATGCAAGGCAAATCTTTAGAGGCACGTGAGATTCAGACAAGGTTATTGATGAAAACGGAAACGAGTAGCGGAAGGAACCTTTGAGAAATCTCAAGAATCAAACAAATAAATTTATAACATGAATTTCTGGCTAGAACGTTTTGGGTTCTGCTTTTCAGTTAACCTGAAATCTAGTTGAGAAAGTTAACTGGAAGGCATCAATATTGATGAAGTTAGTCTGCATTCTTTTTTATCTTATTTGACCCTCTCAGAGGAAATTTGAAGGTAGGTTCTCCGTATATATAGATACAGATCAAGCATGCTCCACTCTTGCTCCCACTGTATATAGTATCAAAAGCAAGTTAGGGTATCTGCCAGTCGATCACTGCTAGACTAGAGCCTGGCCTCTCAGTTGCTTAGAGGGTAGTTGTGGTCCCAATGTACCACGGTCATCATCAATTTTAGCCACTTATAAAATGTCTAGCACTTATTTGTTGAATTAATGATATAATACTATTTCTATTTCGATCGCAGCCTTCGGTGTTAAGACCTTATCGTATTGCAAAATCGCACGTACTATGATAATGAGTAGACCGGGTAAAACAAACATTCTATATACACACATATCGACAGATAAGGCTGGAGTATGATCAATGGAATCATGGCTTGCACTTTTTTTTTGCGGCGACATGAATTTACAATTTTCGGAAATAGTCTATAACGTGATTTGGCCAAAGTGCGACTAAATGTTTATAAATGGTTTATACGGATTTTTGCATAAGTTCTTATTGATCGAATCTCGGATAAGGTGGCGACTGATGCGATACGGTCTTAGCGGAAAAATCTTTATTGATGTGAAAGTTAAAATATACATTTAAATCGCCTTGCTGTTTGTAGCTTATAGCGGGTATTGCCCGGCCTTGCCCGTGGCACGTAGAAAATAGATTTTCTCAAAAAGCTTTAAAAATGAACAAAAAACTTTCATACAAACGTTTTCCGCCCATTTACCACTGTGGCGGGTGGAATTTCGCAAATCGCTGAAAGACGTATTTATTAAGTTCTTATGTAGAGCTCTGAAAATAAGTTCGCAGCTAATCGGAAAAAAATCTTGAATCGCATTTCTACCGAAGAAGTTTGGATTCTGGGAAAAGTGTAAAACACGTCTCAAATGATTTTTCACATAGATCCTGGAAATTGAATTTATGCGCGAAACGTCACCCACCAAATCTTTGATCCCCATTTCCATCAAGTTGGAATAGATTTTCCGAAAATTGCGAAACACCCCTCAAATGAATTTAAGCAAAGATCTTTGAAATTGAGTTTGAGGCCAATCGGATGGTTAACAAAAAAGTTTCAAGCAAAGGTTTTTCGTGATTTTTCCACACTTGCGGGTGGAATTTCCCGAAACCCCGTCTTAACGTGCACCTTCATCACATAAGGTAATAACAGTAAAAAATTTCAGCTTCCTAGCTCTTACGGTCAGTCAGTCAGTCAGTCAGGACAAACAGTTGTATATATAGCGATATAAGAGCGTGCGAAGTGGGAAAAGCCAGATGAGTAGCCAGGCTAGAAATTTTTTTTCCGCTTCTTATCAACATCGCATAACTATATAGTGTAGCTGCCAGAGGCTAGATCGGTTGAGAGTCAAATTCTTTTATACAAATATAAAGCATACCTTGCCTTACCTTACCTCTATATATGAAGAATATGTCGAAAAATGAGTTTAGAATGAAAAGTTTGGTCGATAAACGATCCTTGCTTGAGTTCAAATCAGTCGACCTTCCTATATTATAATCACAACAGTTTGTTCTTTATTCGTTCGTATGCATTTATAGATCCATTAATGATATGTTTGCGTTCAACACTTGGCCGAGCACTCGTCGCCCTCACAAATATCGCAGAGCTTCGATTCGATCTGGTAATATTCCGTGGCCTTCTTGTTCGTGTCGTAGTAATCGTAGAGGACAATCGGGGCGGGCTTCTGGTTGGCGACGGCATGCGTCTTGAATGCCTCGATGGGCAGGCATTTGAGCTCGCCTCTGGGCAGGCTCTCAAAGTAGATGACGACCACGGAGTCGTCATTCTTGGTCTCCACCAGCTGTAAGGGTTTAAGATAAGAATAGTTTATTAAAAGGTCTGTAGAGTGGTTATTGGTTGAGACCTACCCGAACGCGCTCGATTTCCTGAATATCCTTGAAGCTCTCCTCGTCGGCCGTGTAGCCGGACGGCAGCGAGACCTCCAGTATGGCCATATTGGATGCCTTGGCCTTGCCCTCCTCCACATACTCAACGCACACGCTCAGCTCAAGCTTGGCCGGCGGGGATTCGGGTTTGATGATCGCCTGAATCTTAAAGCTGGGCTTCGGTTCCTTCTCGACCACGTTGTACTGGTAGCTGATTTGGAGGAGGGCTGCGCCCGTGCCCTTGGCCTCGTAGGACAGCGACTTGGTGCCTTGGGGGAACTCGACCGTTTGCAGCAGCAAATCGTTGTCCTCCGTCAGGCTGAGCTTCTCGGTCTTTTCACGCTGGCCGTGATTGGAGACGCTAACGTCCCACCTGGCTGGCTCGTAGCCGGACTTTTTGGCGAACTGAATCAGCGCCTGCAGCCCGGCGACGGTGTCCTGGGAGGAGGCAAAGCCACCAAAGCTGTTGCGCTGCGCGACGAGCCAGCGAATCGAATCGAGCAGCGTGTTGGGCGTCTCCTGCTCGGATTCCAGCAGCGAGAGCAGCGCATAGGAGGTGATTTCGATGTCGTGGCTCCAGATCCAGCACCACCAGCGACCGCATTTGCCGCCACGCAGCTTTTGGTCATCCTCCGTCCACCAGGTGCGATCCTCCTCGTGCTTGGCAAGCGCTTTCAGTGCAGCCAAGTGCTTGGCTGCATTAGCAGACTTGGCTTTCTGCAAGGCATAAGTTGCCAGAGCCCGGGGCAAGAGCTCCTCGGTATCCTTCTCATTGGATTGGGCATCCAAATAGGCGACAGCCTTGTCGATGGCCGTCTGGTTGGGTTTCTGCTGCTCCAGCAGAGCGAGCAGCGCGTTGGCCGTCA